AAAAAAAAAAAAAAAAAAAAAGGAAAAAAGGAAAAAAAAAAATAAAAAAAAAAGCAAATAACAAATAGTAACAAAATGGCTGTAAGTACGTCGATCGTAGGGGGGCTTTTTTTTTCCTCTTTTCTATCGATAACCAAAAGTTTTTCATTTTGAAAACATTGTTTTACATTTTATTTGAATAAAACAATATATTATACGGAATATAATGTTAAACAAATATATCGATTTATTCAGGATTACTCAGCTGGTCGACGGTTTTAAAAGCTATTAAATTAACTTGGAACTATTGGAAAAATAAAATATATATATATATATATATATATATATATATATATATATAATATAAAGTGAAATTAATATTGCATAATTTTTTACGATACATTTTACAAATTATATCGATTTAATTCAAGATAATGTTTAGATCGTTCGACTATGTCTTAAATAAAAGAAATTCAATTAACTCGAGAGTATTTGATAAAAAAAGAAAAAGCAAAAAAGAAAAAAAAAAGAGAGAAAATTAAAAATCAAACAAAATAAAATAAAAACTAATATTAAAATTAATATTAAAACTAATATTATAATAGTTTCCTAAAAAGAAATATCTAAATTTTTGTTTGAGTACATATATGTATTAAATTTATCTAAGATTATTTCAATAATCATCATTGATAGCAATCTTGAAAGTCATTAACAATTAACTCGAAATTATATATAACATAAAATCAAACTATAAACGACGTATTTTCTTAAAATATAACAAAATATATCGATTTATCCAAGATAATCGTTTTAATCGTTTGACAACGTTATATATTAATTAAGACAATTCGATTATCTCGAAGTTATTTAACGAAAAAAAAAAAAAAAAAAAAAAAAAAAAAAGAAAAGACAAAAATAAAACGAATTAAAATTAAATAAAATATACTAAATTAAACTAAACTAAACTGAACTAAACTGAACTAAAATAAAATCAAATAAAATAAAAGATAAAAAGGATGAAACCAAAAAGCAGACATAGTTTCCTAAAATATCCAAATTCGTTGGCGAGGTGTTTAGCTTTGGGGTCACAGTGCGAGAGAGAGAGAGAGAGAGAGAGAGAGAAAGAGAGAGAGAGAGAGAGAGAGAGAGAGAGAGAAAGAGAGAGAGAGAGAGAGAGAGAGAGAGAGAGAGAGTTTAGACTGGATTGCAAAGACTAAATTTAAACTTTGGGTTCGAACACTTCGTGGAATTCGAAATTCGGGCGGTACGAGGCGGGTACGAATAGGTACGCCATCTTCTTGTTGAATAAGGGAAGCAACCCCCGATTGATTTTTCGCGCGTACGTACCGCCGCCGGCGCGGCGTTTACCAAATAAGGAAGAGGACTCGAACCGCGCCACTACAAAGGGCCGGCGTCGCGACGCTCAACATGGCCGCTTGCACCGACTGACAGTTGTTGCTCCTTCTTCTGCACGGCGCGTACGTTCCTCATTCGTGCTTTATTTATTCAATTAGAACGAGCCAGAACGAGAAAATATATCATGCGTCGTCGTTCGCGATTACGTCGCGATTCCGCAACGGTGAGTTCGTCGAAACGTGTTCCAAAAAAAAAAAAAAAAAGAAAAAGAAAGAAGAAAAGAAAAGAAAAGAAAAGGAAAAAGAGAAAAGGAAACGAAAAAAACAGACTTATATCACATTTTACGTTTTGCGATCCTTTCGTTCTTACTCTTTCTTCTCGTACGTTCCTTTCGATAATAATAGTTTTTCTTTTATTTTCTTTTTTCTAAATAGATATATATGTATACATATATATATAGATATTTTTTTCTTTTCATCTCATTTCCTCTTACGTTTGTGTTGTGTATCCTTCGATCGGATAATATTTGTTATTTCCTATTTTCTTTTCTTTTTTATTATTATTATCATTTTTTTTTTCTTTCTTTTTTTTTTTTTTTCCTTCTTCTTTCTTTTCAAACAATTATAAACATCTTCGAAAACGAAGCAACTCCAAATCGCATTTGCAATCGAATTCATTTCTTTTGCCAATAAAAATTGTTCGGAGGAACATTATTTATGAATCGCATATTCATACATGTGCAATTTGTGTTATGGTTCTTTTTCTATTCACATCGTTTTTTCTTTCTTTCTTTCTTTCTTTTCTTTTTTTCTTTATGGAAATTGTTTGGAAATTCTACGTGGATTCTTACGTGCTTCTTGTAATTATTATTGTTATTATTTTATTTTACTTTTTTTTTTTTTGATATTGATATTGTTTTTCTCGGAGTAAAAAATTTTGACAATGGCGTTGACAAATCGATTTTTACAATTTAATTAGATCGAGTTTTTGTGAAAATTTTGTCGACCATAATCGACGACATGGACTTATAATATATACATACATATGTACATACATACATACATACATACATACATACATACATACATACATACATACATACATACATACATACATACATACATACATACATACATACATACATACATACATACATACATACATACATACATACATACATACATACATACATACATACATACATACGTATGTTGTAGGGAAATAACCGCTAAAGTTCATTGTTCCTTGGAGACGAGTTCGTAAAGAGAGAGAGAGAGATAGAGAGAGATAGAGAGAGAGAGAGAGAGAGAGAGAGAAAGAGAGAGAGATAGAGAGAGAGAGAGAGAGAGAGAGAGAGAGAGAAAGAGAGAGAGAGAGAAAGAAAGAGAGAGAGTGAGAAAGAGAGAGAGAGAGAGAAAGAAAGAGAGAGAGTGAGAAAGAGAGAGAGAGAGCAACGTACGGGGTTTAATCCTCCTGTGATATTTTCGATAGGATCGATTAGTCGATTCGATGTGTCAGGATTAATAAAAATTATATATATATATATACATCTTTGTAATCGATTTTTTCTAAATATTAAAAAGAAATTTTTACACTTTTATCAAAAAATTTAATCCTAACGATAAATATCGTTTTGTTCTTTAACGAATAAAATGGGTGGAGAGGATAAGGGGAGAGAGAGAGAGAGAGAGAGAGAGAGAGAGAGAGAGAGAGAGAGAGAGAGAGAGAGAGAGAGAGAGAGAGAGAGAGAGAGAAGGAGATTGAGATCATTGAAAGAAGTACGTTTTAATTTATCATCTATTTAGACACTTATGTCTTTTTAATCGGATCGATTTGTTATTATCGATAATAAAAGACACATCGAATATAATCCTACGTATCGCTCCATTAATCTTAATCTCGATAATAAAATCAATTGAAATTGTTAGATGTATATATTATAGATTTATAAACGTAAACTTATACATAGTTAGATCGAAAGATTTTATATAAATCGTGGGGGAGATCTATATCCGATCGTCGATAGAATTTTAACAAAAACGATTCCTGCGATTGGCATCGTAAATAATTGCATCGAATATCTCGAAGATGATAAAAATACGATTAATCAAAAAACGTTGATTGAGTTTCCGTGGTTCATTGGATCGTTATTGGAAGATGATAACAAATTTATAATACATTAGTAATTATGCATAGACGATATCTAATTAGTAATAATGCAATTATAATAATGATTAGCAATAATGCATAGACGATATTTCATTGTAATATATACAGTATGTACAATCATTGTGAATAATTTTCTTTCTTTCATCTTTCTTTCTTTTCCATCCGATTTTTTTTCTCTCTTTTTTTTTCTTTTTCTTTTTTTCTTTTCTTCGATTCAATTTTATCAATCCTACGTAAGAAAAAAGTTTTGTTAACGTTAAAGTTTCATTTATTCTCGAATTAATTATCGATATATATATATATATATATATTATTGATATGTTTATGAACGATGGCTTTGATAAATAAAAACGTTGATTACATTTTTCCACGTAATTAAATATAATTCAAATGGCTTATAAATTCTCGCTTACGAATGGATATAGAGTGTACGCGCGTTTACAATGATTGCGTGTGTAACGTGTAAATAAGTGTCGTGAGGACGACGAAATCTCTCGGTGAGATTTTCACCGCGTATAATTTTAGATCCCGTCACTGCGAGTTTCTCTCTCTCTCTCTCTCTCTCTCTCTCTCACTCTCTCTCTTTCTCTTTCGTCTTCTTCTTAGTAGAACACAATACTTAATTTTAATTTGATATCAGGAGGGAAACGTGGTTAGAGATTTCTAACAAAATCATGAATACTCCGTTATTGTATTTTAATCGTTTACCGTTAGAACTACCGCAATTCGTTCCGTTTTATGTCATGTCACGTTTAATTATTTTCACCGTGTATATGAGAAAAAGATAGAGATAGAGATGGAGATAGAAAGAGAGAGAGAGAGAGAGAGAGATGATTAAAACGTGACTCGAAAGTGACTCGAATAAGAAAAGTCACGTAAAGTATATTATCGATCGAATATTTTATTAAAAGCAGTTTGCTTAGTTAGACGGAAATAGAATTTCCTTGGCGTACATTAAATGTACGTTCCTTTTACTAATAACACCTGCAAGACGAAGACTCTTATGGATAATAGTAGACATATGGTGCGGCATAGATTTCTCAAATAATATTTATTAATTAATAAGGTACGATTTCTCTCGAGAGAAATAAACGTGACTTTCGTGTTTTTATTGAAACGACGAAAGCAATTTATATAGAAATACATTTTATCGTTTACGAAGGATTAATAATTTTCTTATTTTCACTATGAGTAAACTTGTCTACGTACGTACATAATGTGTACATACTTACGTACATACGTACGTGATGATCTTCGTATTACATTTTGAAAATGTCAATTAACATGTGGTTTCGTTAATAATCGAACGGAAATTATTACATAGCATAACTGCCGGACTAAATAGGATAATACATATTACTTAGGACTTACATACATACGGTAGACCGCAGAAATTGATTTTAATTATAATCGATTCTCGTTCGTGCCATCATAAATTTAGCAATTATCCTAGAAGATTCGGTTCTCCCCTTGTCGATTATTTCGTAGCTAATTCGTTCGTGAAAGATCGTTCGGTGATAACTTCTCCTCTTTCACCTTCTCCTCCTCCTCCTCCTCCTCCTCCTCCTCTTCCTCCTCCTCTTGCTCTTCCTATTCCTCTAGTGCATTTAATCCTCTTCCTCTTCCTTCCATTATCGGACTATATTCAGGTGAGGTCAGCAGCAAGTTTCATTCGTTGGAATTAAATGAAGGTTCATACCTCATCGACGAGTTCGGAGAATCCATTTATTCTGCGGTTTCGATACGCGACTATCTCTCCCACTTTTTATATTGTCCTCCATCTCCTTCTCCTCCTCCTCCTCCTCCTGCTGGCATATCTTTCTACCCTTCGAAGGTAACGCGCCAGTTGATACACCTCCTCTATGCAAGATTAACGTTTCATAACTGGCAAGCTATCTGTCGAGTAGAGAGAGAGAGAGAGAGAGAGAGAGAGCTTTTTCTTCTCTAACCTTTGACCTTTGCTCTTAAATTTTTAATTAATCCTTTGAATAACAAGTACCGAGTGTAAATAGAGTAAATACTCGTTTCTCCTCCTCCCCTTCCTACCCTTCCTCCCCCTCCCCCTCCCAAACTCATTTATTAGTCGTAATCATTTTTTCGTGTTCTTTTTTTTCTTTTTTTCTTTTTTTTATATTCTTTCTCTCTACCTCTTCTTCTTTTTGTTTTTTTCTCTTTTCATTTATTAACATTCTTTTCTTTTTTTTTTTTTTTTTTTTTTTTTTTGTTTCTGACCCGCGATTTTCTCGGGCGGTGTAAATATGATCCCTTACTTTTTATCATTTTAGATGCCCTTTCTGTTGTAAGTCGATCCTGACCAGAAGGAACTGGGGATTCAGGATGGGAAAGCTTTTGAGTCTTCTGGCTCGGGACGAGTCTACCTGTTGCACGCCTCAAAAGTACGACGTCTTTTTGGATTTCGAGAGTAAGTTAATTTTCTTTCTTTTTTTTTTTTTTGTTTCCCTTCTTCTCTTTTCTCTCTTTTTGCTTTTATTTATTACTGAATCGAAACAAAGCATTCTCTCTCTCTCTCTCTCTCTCTCTCTCTCTCTTTTTTTCCTTTTCCTTCCTCTTATTCTTCTTCTTCTTGTTTTTCTTTCTTAAATTATTATTATTATTATTATTATTATTATTATTATTATTATTATTATTATTATTATTATTATCGTTGTACTTAATATCATTATTATTATTATTATTATTATTATTATTATTATTATTATTATATATATATTTATTTATAGATAATTTCTTTGTTAATTTATTTCTTAAATATTTATTTGACAATAGCCAATGGATTGAATAATTTATTTTTAGACGCACAGCCCTCGGATATCGAACGTGAGACATTCGATGCCGTTCAAAGAGTCCTGAAAAATTCTGAATCTATTTTGGAGGAGATTCAATGTTACAAAGGTGCAGGGAAAGAAATAAGAGAAGCAATATCGGCCCCTACGGAGGAGTGCCAACGAAAGGCTTACTTGACCGTAGCACCGCTCGTAGCGAAGCTCAAAAGATTCTACGAATTTTCTTTGGAATTGGGTTCGTCCGTTTCCATTTCCTCTCTCGTTATTTTCTTCTTCTTCTTCTTCTTCTTCTTCATCTAAAAATATTTAAAAAAAAATATATATATATATATATATATATATTTATTTAAAACTCGAAAAAATAAATTTGTATTTGTTCCGAATTATTTTTCATAAAAAAATATAAATATTTTTCGAATATTTCCATAATTATTTTCGAGTAATCAATAAATTTCAAGAGTCTCTAATGAGAGATTGTAAAAAAGAAAAAAGCAAGAAGAAGAAGAAGAAGAAGAAGAAGAAGAAAAAGAAGAACGAAGAAAAAGGAACAATTTCTTTACTCTTATTTGTTTTTTATTTTTTTTTGTTCTATATCTTTCTTTCCTTTCTTTCTTTCTTCACTCTTATCTCATCCTTTTGTTCGTTTAGAAAGCGTAGTACCGAAAATACTTGGACAATTATGCTCGGGAAATTTAACGCCAACGCAACACCTGGAAACCCAACAGGCTCTTGTTAAACAACTCGCTGAGATTCTCGAATTCGTTTTGAAGTTCGACGAGCACAAAATGAAAACTCCAGCTATCCAAAATGATTTCAGTTACTATCGTAGGACATTGACGAGGGCGTCGTTGACACGACAGGATAATGCGGAGAAGGATTTAATTGTTGGGAATGAGTTGGCCAATCGAATGTCCTTGTTCTATGCCCACGCAACCCCAATGCTACGTGTTCTCAGTCACGCGACCATTACTTTCTTGATGGACGTAAGTGCTTTTCTCTCTTTCGATTATTCGACTATTTTTTCTCTCTCTCTCTCTCTCTCTCTCTCTCGCTTCACCCCTCATCCCTCCCATTACACCTTTTTGCCTCCTCCCCTCTTTGTTTTTCCCTTTTTATCTCTTTTCCTCTTTCTTTTTCTTTTTTTTTTATTTTATTTTATTTTTATTTCTTTTTTTTTCTTTTTTTTTCTTTCTTTTTTTCTTTTTCTCTTTCTTTGTTTTTGTTTTTGTTCTGTCGAATATCTACAACATTTCTATATACGTAAATATATGCTCGTCCACTCTCTTACCTTCGCTTATAATATCAACTTTTATTTATTTCGTTGCATAGCAATCTTCACTCGTTCAAATGCAATTCGAAATCTTACGATGAAAATGAACGTATTGAGAATAAAAAATTCAATAACATCGAAGAATTGTCGTATAATGTTATAATGTACTTTTATCTTTTCTCCTTCATCTTCATTTTAATTGGATTGAAAATTAATTATAATTAGTTAGAGAGAAATGTGGCGTAGGATCTTAAGGAAGAAAAAAAGAGAGAGAAAAAAAGAAAAGAAAGAAAGAAAAGAAGAAGAAGAAGAAAAAAAAGAGAGAGAGAGAGAGAGAGAAAGGAAAATAAAAGGGTCTAAAAATCTCAATGAAAATTAGAACTCTCAAAGAGAGAAGAGCTCTCTCTCTCTCTCTCTCTTCTTCTCTCTCTCTCTCTCTCTTCTTCTCTCTCTCTCTCTCTCTCTCTCTATCCCTTTCTATCCTTATCTATCTTTTTAGTGTTATTACTAGGTGCAAACCATAAAATAAAATAAAATAAAATAAAATAGAGAGCGAGAGAAATTAACGTTAGGCGAGAGAAAGTAATGACGCGAAGGCACTAATTCGTTCTACTTACGCAAGATAATCCAGCTGGTAATGAATTTTCGTTTAGTAACGCCTATCACAAAGACGTAATTAACGAAGTTACGCGACCAAGAACAAGTTCCTCTTTATTAAAGACGAAGGAATAATTGTCTATACGATAAATATATATACGTATGGTATATGTATATAAAATATATACTATATATACTATATTATATAGTATATATTTATATATATATATATATATATATATATATATATATATATATATAAATGTACTTTGGTGTGTTGGTACAGCTGAGTCACGCAAGTATTACTTTCTTGATGAACCTAAGTGGTCTCGCTTATTTACTTCGCTTCATTTTACCAAATCGAAGATGCTTTCTCTTTCTCTCTCTCTCTCTCTCTCTCTCTCTCTCTCTCTCTAGCATAGCGCTATTATCGTCTTTATCGGTGTTATTATCGGTCATTGAACCATTTAAACATCAACAATCATTAAATATAACTAGTTCATTTTTTTTCCCTTGTCATTTGTCAAATGACATATTATCCCTCTTTTTTGTTTCCTTTTTTGTCAATTTCTTTTTTTTTCTGTTTTTTTTTTTTGCAAATTCGAACTTCGTCCTCTCAATTCGTTTGACTTTGCACGCGAGAGAGAGAGAGAGAGAGAGAGAAAAATGACAGGGAGTTTAATAAAAGCGAATTTTTAGCGATTGTCATATCAAAAACTGGTGGATTGGAGTGAATGAGGGAGGGAGGAAGAGGGATGGGTTGAAGGGATAGGGAGAATGGTGATGGGTGGGAAGGTTAGAAAACTAGAATTAAAAGCGTTCGATCCGACTGTTTGCTCTGGCAAAATTGACAGGCATCGGACGTTGGAATTCAGATTACATGGGGCTCACTTTGAGCCATTATGTGGAATAATGGGGAAGGTGGGTTGGGTTGGTAAGTAAATGTTAAGTACATACGTACATATATACGTATATGTATATATAAGTATATTTTCAGGCAAAAAAAATCGATAATACGCCTATCGTGTTACGTCCGTCACGAAAATACATTTTTATATATTACCATTCTTCGATGTTAGAATGAAAATTCATATTGGAATTTTTTTTTTTTTTTTTTTCTTTTTTTTTAGAGATTTTATATATCCTTCGTTTTGATTTTTCTTCCTTTTTTCTCCTTTTGTTTATATTTTAGAACGAAGATATACCGAGGGAGAATATCACTGAAACTCTTGGGACTATGGCTAAGGTCTGTCTGAGAATGTTGGAAAATCCGTAAGTAAAATTGTTTAACTTTATCAAATTTCATGTAGTACATTATATACATATATCTATATATTTGTATTGTTAAAATTGTATGTTTTGTAAAAAAGAAAAAAAAAAAAGAAGAAAAAGAAATAGTTGAAGCTAATCCCTATTACGAATTAACATAAAATTTATATCTTTGATCAATTCACAATGAATATATCTATTAACATCGATATAAATTTGTTATCAGTAAATTTATTCCAACAATCGATATTTATTGTCGATTGATTTCAAAAATGAGGCAAATCCATTTATTGGCACATATTAGAACCATGATTTTTTGTACTTTCTCCTTTTTTCTCTTTCTCTACGTCGCTATCCATTTAACATAAATACGACAATTAATTTTATCTCGTAGCAATTTATTGGCGCAATTTCAACGTGAAGAGACACAATTATTTGTATTGAGAGTTATGGTAGGCCTTGTGATACTATACGATCATGTTCATCCTCAAGGTGCATTCGTCAAAGGTTCGAACGTTGACGTGAGTATAATTTATCTTTCAATGAATGGATACTTCATCCGTACGCTTGTCTGTCGGAGAAGAAAAGAAAAAAAAAAAAATTTAAACGTTATTAATCCCATCTTTATTTTAATTAACGACAGGTTAAGGGCTGCGTGAAATTGTTGAAGGATCAGCCGCCATATAAGAGCGAGGGCCTTTTAAACGCGTTACGTTATACGACGAAACATTTGAACGAGGAGAACACACCGAAAAATATAAAGAATCTATTAGCAGCATGATTGCCGAAACAACGCGGTTGCTGCATCAGAAGTTGATTGTTGGTGGCCGCGAATATTCTGGTACGAAAGTCTCTAAATACGGAGAGGTCTCTAAATCATTTTTTATCGGCGTCTTACTGACGGACACAACGAGTTAGCTGTGAGAATGAATGAACGAATGAATGAATGAACGAACGAACGAACGAACGAACGAAAAAAAGGAACGAACTAAGGGGGAAAAGTAGGAAGGAACGAACGAAAGAAATAGAGGAACGAAGGAACGAAGAAAAAAAAAGGGAAGGAAGTAAGGAAAGGATTGAGGAAGATAGAAGAGAAAAGAAAAGTGAAGACGGGGGAAAAAAAAAGGAACGTATGTCCGTGTGTACGCCATTGATTATCCCTTGTGACCTCTGGATCCTAGAAAAAAGAAAAAAAAAAAAAAAAAAAAAAAGAAAAAAAACACCACCCCTCTATTGTGGATGCTGACTATGGCTAACTGGACCACGAAGTCTTTCGAAAATGCGTTAAAAAGGAAAACAAAACAAAACGAAAAAGGAAAAAAAACAACAAAATAAAAGAAAACGAAAAAAAAAAAATAAATAAATAAATTAATTAATTAATTAATAAATAAATAAATAAATAAATAAATAAATAAATAAATAAATAAAGCTGCCTCTCTTGAGTCAACTGCCAGATTTTAATCATGGCGATTGGCACGTTGCTAGAAAAGGAAAGAAAATACACATATATATATTGTAGACGAATGGTAATTGGACATTTTTCAGAGAAACGTATTCGCGTGATCGTTTGCAAGCGTAATCGTTTTTCTTTTTGTCCTTATTTTTTTTGTTTCTCTTTCTTTCTTTCTTTCTTTCTTTTTTCTTTCTTTTTTTTTTTTTTTTTTTTTTTTCTCTTTAAAGCGTACATTCGAATCCGTTCTCCAATTTCGTTTTCGTCCGATGAAATTTTTTTTCTTGCTTTCTTCTTCTTTTTTTTTGCTTTTTTTTCTGCTTTTTCTTCTGCTTTTTTTCTTTCTTTTTTTTTTTTTTTGCGAGAAACAAACATCCATCGGACACGATCGATTTTATTCTCACCAATGAAAAGCTCGTGGACGAATTAATATGGGGAAAGGGGGAACGGGAAGGGAAGAAATTTTTCAATTCGAATGTATAATAGAACAATTCGATTATTGATCGTTGTTGATTCATTTTACGATGATTACTATGATCGTCTGTTTATATAAGCTTTAGATATTCTTCTTCCATCAATTAATATTATTATTATTATTATTATTATTATTATTATTATTATTATTATTATTATTATTATTAAGATTAATATTATGATTATATGATAATTATTATTATCGATTATTATTATTATTATTATTATTATTATTATTATTATTATTATTATTATTATTATTATTACTTTTCTTTTTCTATTTCATTTCTCTATTATTACGTCGATTATAATAGACACTATTTGTCGTGGGGAAAGAACTTAGAAAAAATTCCGATTAAAGGTCGCTCATTGATATTATTGCGCCCTTAAAAAAAAAAAAGAAAAAAAAAAAATCGGCGCGACCCGTTAATTAGACCATATCATAGTGTATTTTAGGAATAATTCCAATTACGAAACTTTTGCGAGATTTATTAAGAGAGAGGTTTAATCACGTTGTGGATATTGTGCAGATCTTTAGCTCTTGTTTTCTTTGTTATTCGACGGATAAAAGTTTGAAAGGTGGAGAGAGAATGAGAGACAGACAGACAGAGAGAGAAAGAGAGAGAGAGAGAGAAATAGACAAAGGATGGAAAACATATAGAATCTCGATAAGGAAAGATTCAGTCAAAACATAAAAAAAGAAAAAAAAAAGAAAAAAAAAAAATAAATTGTTAAAGTCGTCGAAACGAAATACTGCCAGCGAAAGTTCAGCGAAAATAAATTCCGAAAAAAGGTCACCATTGTCAAATTGATTTCATTTTTATCGTAAAGAAAATTTTTTCCTTTTTTTTTTTTTCTGACAAAAAGTTAAACGAAACAAAAAAACAAAATAAAAAAAAAAGAACAAAATAAGAATATTCGACTCGAAAAAAAAAAAGAAAAAAAATAAAAAGAAAAAAAGCTCTTTTTACCTGAAACGAATCCTACCTGACGTTAAAGAAATTTTTTAATCGAAGGATAAAACAGACGAATGAATGACATTAATCGACGAACAATATTTACGGTAGGATTTTTGTGAAAGAGTTAGAAAGAACGAAGTACCAAAGAATAATTATTGTACAGCGTGTAAAGAAGACAGTGTATGTCCCTTATATCTCATTGTTATATTATTTTTTATCATTATTGTTAACTTAACAGCTACGAGATGAGAAAAGCAAGTAATTTATACTTTATAACTGCCGATTAGAGAGAAAGAGAGAGAAAGAGAGAGAGAGAGAGAGAGAGAGAGAGAGAGAGAGACCGAAAGATGTATGACCGTATGACACATTAGCGGTACAATATCAATGTTTTCACGAACTTCTCAAATTTCACGAACCTACGAATAAAATAATTATGAACATTATATAAAATAATTTCTCTTAAATACCTTTGTGTGTTCCTTTTTCTTCGGATTCAAAACGATGTCGTCTGTTCGGATGTTCGAGGCCGAATTAGATTAAATAGGTCGTTCTGTTTATAAATTCATTTGTTTACTTGAACAGAAGATATGAGTGAAAGAGGGGGGAGAGAGATAGAGAGAGAAAGAGGGAGACAGAAAGGTAGGACAAATAATATTTCTCCGATTGGTTCGAACGAACAGGAATAGGTTTCGTTCCTGATGATAGGCAATAATCTACAGAGTGTAAGAAGGTATACGAGATTGCATACCTTTAGGGGCAACTAGATGCGCCCGAAGGTAAGCAATACGTTCTACTTTCTTGCATATGCAAAAGTAAAGTTCGTAGGTATCAAATGTTGCATACTTTCAGGCGCTCAGTCGGTATGTGATCCAATGTTGATCTTGACGAAATATTTTTCCTAGATTCAGATGATAAATAAAATACTTTGTTCCCACACACTCTCTCTCTCTCTCTCACTCTCTCTTTTTCTATCTCTCGGTAATAGCATCCATTATTGATTATACTCTTACTTTTTTTCATCCCTTTCTCATTCCGACCGTTGGTAATGAAGTTTTATACAATTTTCTTTCATATAGAACGAAAGAGCTAGTTTACGAGTAAATTTGCTCGTTCGATGGTAGGTGGCTTTAGAAAAAGAGAGCGCCATTACACGGCGCCACGGTGGTTATTAAGGCGCAATTCTTTAAATATTGATTGAAAGTGGGTGAAAGTCGGTGGGTGGGTGGTAGTTCGGGATGGAGGGTTCTAGAGGGGTGAAAAAGACGACGGCGGAGGTTGGACGAACCGGCGAGATGAGATGAGAAGGTGGACGAGAAGGGGAGACCGTCTATAATATATGATGGGCGCGGTCGCTTTCTATGGATTTCTTTTCCATTATAAATGCAGATCGCTTTAGTTGATCAATTTCTAATTATCCTAACGTATTATAATATCTACGAAAATGTAAAAAGAAGAAATTAAAAAATCAAATTAGAAATTGGATCCTATTTGAAAAATTTCAAATCAATATTAACGTTTCATTGGATTCGATCAAATTATTTCTTTTTTTTTGTCATTTCTCTTTCTTCCAATTTCTTTTTTTTTTGCTTTTTTATTTATTTATTTTTCTTTTGTTTTTGTTTTTCTTCTTCTTTTTTTCTTTTTTTTTTTTTTTCTTTAACAAATCATACGAGTTAAAAACTGATCGATACAATAACATTATCTAATTAAACGTTAAATTAAACTTTGAAATACTTTGATCGTTAATCGTTTCCTTTCAATTTGATAAAGGAAATTTCATTTAGAAATCTTTGATCTAATTAATTTCAAATGAACTTTTTTCCCCCCACGTAAGTTCGGCTTCTACATCGTAGTCTGTTCTACGATAAATCCTAAGATATTATAGATTGACCGTTCGCATTTAAGAAAGGGCAGCCATGTTTTTCGAAAGGCGTCCGAGAATGTCGGGCCGCTTTTGTTTTGCCTTTCGCGCAACCACCACCACCATCACCACCACCACCGCCATCAGCACCACCCTTGTAGGATCTCCTTTCCCCTTTCTCTTTCTTTCTCCTCCTCCTTCTCGTCGTCGTCGTCGTCGTCATCGTCGTCGTCGTCGTCGTCTTAGAGCGACTGCTGCGACCCTCGCCACTTTAGTCGTGCTACCTACCAACCCCTCTTCTTTTTTTTCTTTCTTTTTTTTCTTTGGACCGCACCAAAGCAACAGCAAGAACGCGCGCGCGGGAGAGAGTGAGAGAAAGAGAGAGAGAGAATGAGAGAGAGTGAGAAGGCGATAGAGACCCCTATGGATTTTTTCCGTACCGTGAGCATCCCCCCACCAGCCACTACGGCGACCCTTCGTCGAGAATATCGTCCGCGGTATTTTAAGGGCTGACATAACCCCTGCCAGGAGAGTTGAAAAAAGAGACAGAGAGAGAGAGAGAGAGAGAGAGAGAGAGAAGAAAGGAAAAAAGAAAAATTTCAACCCTCAATTTGTTGGACTGCTTGCCCGTTTAATTGCAATATCCATTTTCTTCTTCTGGTTCTTCTTATTCTTTACGATTAGTCTTCCTCCTTAACACTTCTGTCTTCACCATCTTTATTAGTTTTTTTTTTCTTTTTTTTTTCTTTTTCTTATCCCTTCAACCTTTCCGAGGTCTCGGAAGTCTTCATAAAGGGTTCCTACCGATCGTTTGATTCTCTGGGAATGTTTCTCTCTTTCTCTCTCTTTCTTATTTTCTTTTTTACTTCTATCACGACGTCACAACTCTTCGTAAATAATAATACAACTAATCCGTGTGACACACCCTGTACATTAATTCCTCGTACGTGCGCACGTTTAGACCCTCCTCAGTTGAGCCACTTAAAAAATCTTATCCGATACGAATCGCATTTCGTTTCTTTTTGTGCTCTACTTTTTTCTTTTTTTTTCTTTTTTTTTTTCTTTCTTCTTTTGCTTTCCATTTCTTCCTTCTTTTATTTTTAATTTGATACTTTCTCATGTACTACTTCACTATGTAATAATTGAAAGTGATTGCGGAGGATCCGTGAAAAAAATTATTCCCTATGATATTAAATATTTATATGAAGGAATTAATATTATTGTTCTAGTATTAAAATTTATTATATTACATTGTAATCATTTTTTTTTTTTTTTTTTTTTTTTTTTTTTTTTTTTTTTTTTTTTTTAAAGAATTTGTTACGATCGAGATTATTATGACGATTTCTATCTTAATAGATATATTTTAAATGAGTGAAATGTCGGATGAAAGTAAAAAGGAAAAGATCAAAAGCTGAAAACGAAAGAAAGAAAAAGACAAAAAAAAAGAAACGAAAAAAGGAAAGGAAAGAGAAACAATCTTAAAATTCTTTCCAACGGGTGAAATTTTTTTTCTTTTTTTTTTTTTTTTTTTTTTTCTTGGAAAAGTTTGCCCCTACGATTTCATGCTATGTTTAAAACCATCAACGAGTATATTTTAAGATATATATATCATTGAGAGATAGAAAGTGAGGAGGATAGTAGGAAAAAAAAATTGTCGTATGTAACGCGTTATAATGCAGAGATCACAGAGGGGTTGCTTCGGTAAGCGACCCTTCGACGCGGTTAAAAACGTGCCACCCCTTTCGAATATTTCCATGGGACGTAAGTAACCCCCTTGATCCACGACGACGTGGTCTAATTGCGATATCGCCTTTTTTCACTCGTATTTTTTTCCTTTTCCATTCTTTCGTTTTTTTTCCCCCCCTTTTCTCTTTCTCCTCTTATTGTTTTGTTTTGTTTTGTTTTGTGTCTTTTTTTTTTTTTTTCTTCGTTGCATCGGATTTCTCGACCAGCATTTTTTGTTCGTTATTTTCTCGCCACCCGGTAATTATGTGGGCGCGGCGGAGCAAACACGGGGAAGGAACAACCACTGTGGCGAAGCTGATAAAAAAAAAAAAAAGAAAAAAGGGAAAAAAAATTGCTTTGCATATTTAAATCCCTTGGTGAGAATGCGATTGAGAGAGAAAGAGAGAGAGAGAGAGAGAGAGAGAGAGAGAGAAGAATAGATAGCGCCAGCGAAGAGAAAGAAGAATAGAAAAGCCGTTCATCCCTTTTTCTCTCGCGAGTCTACATGTATTTATGTATGTGTGTTTGAGAAAGATAGAAAGAGAGGGAGAGAGAGAGAGAGAGAGAGATAAAGAGATAGAAAGGAAATTTAAGCAAGGGCGCGTGCGCGATGACAATAGATCGTGTTTGCACACCCGAAAATTGGCCGACATAGAAAAAGAGTCTACTGTTTCGGCATGGCTACGAACAAAAAAAGAAAAGAAAAGAAAAAAAAAAAGAAAAAAAAAAAAGGAAAAAAGAAAAAAGAAAGAAAAACAACAGTGAGAGGCCAATAGAAACAGCGTGAATAATATTCTAATGGCACGCGTACTATAATTCTACTCTCGTTACTATAATACTTTACTATGAAAAATGATAATGCGCCCTTATGAATGATAATATTTCAACATAATCGAGACGTGGAATGAATTTTTTTTTGTTTTTTTTTTTTTTTTGTTTTTTTTTTTTTTTTTTTTTTTAATCGATTCACTTCTGCCAAACGAATTCACTTAATTATAAGTGATTAAAAGTTTTGCGATGAATAATTTTTTATTTTCTCTTTTTCTTTTTTTTTCTTTTTTAAATTAGTTTCCATCAATTTACTGTTATAGTATTTTATCGTGAAAAATGATGTTCCTTTTATGAATGATAATTTTTCTAAATAATCAATGATAAAATATTGGTACATAGTATTTTTTATTTTAATTAATTAACGTGATTCTTCTCGAGTACGAATCAATTTAATTTATTACTGATAAAAAATTTGCGGTGAATTATTAGTTTTTTTTCTTTTTCCCTTTTTAAATTAGTTTCCATCGATTTACTGCTGTAAGAGTATTTGACTGAATGAAAAATGACGTCTCCTTATGAATGATAATGTGTGTTTTTTTTTTTTTTTTTTTCAAACAATCTATGATAATATATTAGAATGTAGTATTTTTTATTTTAATCAATTAATACGATTCTTCTTGATTTAATTATGACTAATTAAATGTCCGATGAGTTTGAAATTATTTTGTTTTCTTTTCTTTTTTCTTTCTTTTTTTTTTTTCTTTCTTTTTGTTCCATCGATTTAACCAAAGGCTCACAATTATAATATTTATTTTAAAAATACGTCCAGGTGTCGAATAACGATTGTTAATCATCGAGAACGTAGCCGAGCATCGATCGACCGGATTAGTCGTATCCAATTTTCCGTGGATGATAAATTAGAATTTATGAAATGAGCATGAAGGAAGAAGGCTAGCGAGTTTCTCGAGGGTGAAACCTTGCGAGGGAGGATAGTTCTACTACCCCCGTAGCTTCTCTTTTTCACGGGAACGTCTTTCTCACTCCCACGCGACTACTCCCTCTCGAAACGTAACTAATAGTTTTTTTTTCCTTTCTTTTTTTCTTTTTTTTTTTTTTTTTTTCTCCTTCCCTTTCCTTTCTCATCATACGGCAAAGAGAGATCTCAAGCAAGCCATTGATATTTTATAATAATAAATATGACGAAAAAATTTC